CAAGATGATTCATGACGCATGAGGCTTGGCCTTGATCTTGGCAACAGCAATTCCACAAGACCCAAGCTTCCATTTGCTTAAGTCGCCCTGGAAAAACAAACACAAAAACACGAAAACAGTAGTCATAGATTCCCCCTTAAAACCAACATGCAAACCATATTTGTAAGCAAGTGAAAGCAACAGTTCCACACTCCTCTCGGTGGACCCGAGGAAGCCATTTGCTCCTAGGGGTTGCCTTTTGACCCATGTGCTTCTTCAAGGAAAGCAAGGGACCCGATGGGACGCCCTGGAGAGTTTCTACCAGAAAAAAGAAAAAGGGTGGCCCTGAACTAGACCAAGTATGGCCTGTTCTAAATGGAGGTTGGCTCATCATTGCAACTGGGAAAATGATGATCTTAACCCGTGGTTGCCGTCGACTCCTCTGCGAAAAGTTTAGTGTTTTTGTTTTTGGTAGTTTTTCTTTTTCGTGAGTGAAACATCAACAGTTTCGCAAACTGGTAAAAGTCCAAAGATCCAACCAAATAGTCATACAGAAGCCAGAGGATTCTTTGGAATTATCCTTTCCCTTTTGTTCGGGACCCAAAGGCAGTCCGGCGGAGCCAAAATTCGGCTTCCGAGTCGCTTCGTAGGGCCACAACGCCAGTGACGCTCAGGTCGCCTGGCAGAAAAAAAGAGGAAAACGGGGCCCATGCATTCCCCACAATTGAGCCTTCTTTTGCAAAAAACTAACAACTTATGTTTCGAAAACTCAAGGTTCCCGAAAAAGACATGAAGTGAATAAAACTCGATGGAAGGGTCCCATCTGCCATGCCTGCAACTCTGGAGGAAAGACTTTGGGGCCCTCGCAACAGGAAGCCAAAGACCCCCTGCAAAGTGAACACCCCAAAGGGCTTGGCAGGGCGAAACGGGTAGCTAAGTCTGGCAATGGCAAAACTTTCCCCTCAAAATGCAAACTTGCTTGCCTTCATGTTTACTTTCGAAGGTGTGTACATGTTTGGAGGGTAGCCTTTTTGCGGTGTTCAAGGAGAGGGGCCCTAAGAGCATTGCGGCAACCAGTTTGAGGGGGTCCACTTCCTATTTTAGCTCACCCGCTTCCCTTGTTTCCAGACTCCAGAATGCATCTCATGTCTTCCAGGTCATCCAGTAGAGAGGTTAGAATAAGGGTACCTTTTTTTCCTGTAGCCTGTTTTAGTAGGGACCCCTCCCAAACAAAAGGCGCAAAAGGGCACCTAGCTGGGGGACCTAGTACACCAAAAAAAAAAACTGCACTCACTTCGTTGGGGAGCATCGCTTTCCTGAGACCCGTCATCCAAGGACGTGACTCAAGGCCTGAACCGAAACGAGACGTCAGCCCTCCCGCCTGAGTATCCCGGATAGCCCGCGAAGCTACTCACAATGGCCGCGTCGCTGGCCCGCGTCGCGGGCAGCGACAAACCTGAGCGGGGCCCGAGCTCGGGGATCCAAAAGCATTCTGGCGTCCTCGTTTCCTCAGTCCCCTACACCTGGAGTCTCCTTCTGACCCTTAAAACATGGTTGGTCCCAAAGCCCAAAATAAAGGGGTGGACCCGTTTTTAAAGGGTCATAGAGGCTCCAAGTATACCAATAACGGATCCAAAAGGCAGGTTGCTGCAGAAGGTGCGGCCTGGTGTCCAATCTGCTCTTCTCTGGCCGCCTTCTTACCAAGGGCTGGCGAGGATTTACCTCTGCACAAAGTGTGTATTCTTCACGGAAAAGCTGGTAACATCCACGTCTGGTTTCCTCAGTCCCCTACACCTCCAATAGCGCACAACATGTCACTTGGGTTGCTTTCTGTTCCCTGCTAAACGTGACTAACTTTTAGTGGTTTAATAGTTGGCAAAAAGCTAAAGTCCTAACATCCAAGCAAAATGCACCAATGTGTCATCACTACTTACCAACTCTTGAGCCCTCTGCAAGCGACCAACTTCTTGTGGGTCCAATTCGGAAAATCCTCCGCTTACCAAAAAGAATAAACTCCAAAGATCCGCTCGCTCGCCAAGAACCCCATGACGCTTCTTTCACCGCCTCGAGGGGTGGAAGCACAACTTGACTTTCCTATTCTCAGGATAAGTGACTCTCATTTATTGGGGAACGTATTCTGGGTTGTTCAAAATGCGATGTCCAATCCGAGGTTCTGCCATCATTGGGCAAGGGAAACCATCTCCCCCTGGCAGGATCTTGCACATGGATTTTGCAGATGTTGTGTTCAATCTCAGAAACGCTAGTTTGAAGTCCATCTCTGACAATCTAAAATAAACAACAAACGTGACCCCTTTAAAAGCCCTCAAGCTGCCGGAAGTTAGGCCGAAGACTTGAGGGCAAGCTCGGTGAATACCAAGTCGTTTGCCAAACCAGCGAACCCGGATGCAGGAAAGTGGCCAACACCCAAACAAAAGGACTTCCTTTGGACACTGTTTTTGAAGCTGACTTAGAATCGAGCATCTGCAGCAGAAAAACCTGTTGGAGAAATTCGTGGGGTTGCCCCGAAGCTGACAAACTTCCACCCCAAATGGCATGCATTCCAAAACTTTATCTCCGACAACTTACTCTCCCCTTGGTACACATCCGTTTCCTGTTGCAAACCAAAAGAAAAGGGTACGCTGTTTGGGAACCCTTTGGTGTTCCAGGGATTCCCCATTCAAATTCATGGAAAGTGTATTAATCGAGTAGCAGGGCGGATCCTTCGTGTGAGCTCATCAAATCAAGTCTGATGTGCCTTAGGATTCTGCAAAGTACTCAGTGTATTTGGCACGCGGAAGGTCTTCCCTCCTTAACTCGTTTCGATTCCGCAACTGGCCCTCTGCTCAACTTCCCTCTGGTTTCGCTTGTGGCTTGGAGGTTCAGGGGGTGGCTTCTTTGCCCTCAAGAATCAGGGTTTCAAATCCCCAAACCAATCCACACCGCAAACTGAGGGTTTCCTGATCCGGGAATTGAATATATAGGGAGAAACCGGACAACTCGAAGCACCAATCCATCTCCGCGTGGTTCTATCAGTTTTGATACCATTTGTAATCGTCGAAAACAGACTGAGCAATCGGCTTGGCAACACACTTTCTGATGCTGTTCGGTTCCGTTTTGGGTGCGCGACCCGTCATGGAGATTTCCAAAAAGGGACCCCCTTGTGGTTCCCCTTCTGCAACCCCGATGGCCAAGAAACCCAGCAGGGCGAGCGCGCGAGCCATGGCAAGACACGCAAAAAGACACTGTCGAGGAACGGGAGGGCTTGGGAGCTGGGGCGCGCGGATGCGATTTCTGTGCAAAGTCTGAGCTCTGATATATATATATATATATTACATGTATATATATATATATTTATATTATCTTTGGCCAGCCTTAGTGCAACGTACTGTGGATGGACGAACTCCTGCACCATCCAACAAACCCTGGAATGATGATTCTGCTGTAAATACCAGCAAACAATGGTTTTCCATGGCTTCAAAGCGGCGCAGGATTTCGTCCATCCACTGTATGTTTGGAGAAGACCCCGACCAAAAAAGCATGGTGAACAAACCCAAGCTTCCAGGTATATGTTATTTATATAGTTGTGCCAGGAACAATGCCAGCTAAAACCACAGCTTCGCATCCAAGTAACTGCACAGCGTGACTGTTGCCCGTGAACTTCCTAAGTTTGTTGCCTGTTCGGTTGTAGTATGTTACCCTGCAGCAAGCAAACATAGCTGTGCCTCGGAATAAGGCCAACAACAGTGATGATTCAAGAGCATGTCACCACTCCACACCAAAGTAATGCTAACTTTGTATTGATCCGCAGGAACCAGAGCTAATATTACCAATGGCAGGTGGGTCCATTTCATCTGCAGCCGGCCGGCTGAGCTTGGTAAGTCGAAAAGATTACGTGAACAAATTGAAGGACCTGCCCTTGGTGAGACTATCTGCAAGACGGGTTCCGTCGTACGGGGCTGCACGCAAAGGAACGCTCAAAACCCATTGACTTTCGTAATCTGCCAAAACGGTTGTAAGGGTTTATATGGGTCTTACCCCCACCATCAAACCACGCAGTAGAGCCACCCATGTAGGCTGGCGTTGCCCAATTGGAGCAGAATTGGTCGGACCTCATATTTCTTGATGACTTTCAGGACACTTTGCTCAAGACCAACTTGGAAGGGTGTGTTTTCACGTGCATTCTGTATGTTGGGATCGGCATCTTTGGCCAGCAGAAATTCCACGAATTCGATGAAGTTGCTATCCAGACCATGCCAAACAAACCTGACCATGTTCTTTATCTTGAAGTAGATATCAGCTGCCTTGGGGCAATTCCGGCCAGTGTACTCTTTCTATGGAGAAACGACCGAATTGAAAACCCAACGTGGAGTGGTGGTGCAATCTGTTGCGTAGTTTGTTAACCTTGCCATACTTGTTTGCAATGAATTTCAATGAGGACCCCTTACATCCTAGTTGGACGTAAACCCCAACCTAAATGATGTCCGCCAAAGGGTCCCCTGTGAAATTTCACACCCATTCTGGAGCCCTCTGGCAGGCTTTTGTGACCCGGCTTTCGCATCTTGACATTCAAAAAAGGACTTCCAAACTCCCACGATGTTGAACCGGGCATTTGTTCAAGGTGAGGGGTCCTTTTGTAACGGGCTCCGGAAAAAATGAAAAGTAATCATCAAAACAGGAAGTTTAAAGCCAACAAATAGGCACCTTTTCGTCTCGGAGGTAACTCAAAACACAGACAATCCCTTCCGCGTTTAGTTCCCCTTTGCTTCTCAACAAAGCCACTGAGTGCCTGATGTCGTTTCAGGCTTGTACAAAAGAGACTCCTGGTCCAAGAGACCACTGCAAGAACAGGGGTGCACCAAATAAAACAAAACGGGTAGGCGCCCCCAAAACAACAAGTTCACCCCGAAACAAATCCCCAAAAACAAAAACTGGCCCTTCCCTAAGAAAAGGCTCCAAGCCTCAAAAAGGGACCCCCAAAACAACCAACAAAACTTCCCCCCGCTTTCTTTCGCCCAAGGGTCGCAGCAGCACCTCGACCTGACCCGCATCTCGGAGCGCCTGTCGCTGAGAAAAGAACTTGCAGCGAAGGGCCCCTGGGATGCGTCCCTTTTTGGCTTTAACAGGGATCCTTACATTATACACCTGAACACTGCCTTGTAAATGGTGGCTTCCCTTTATTTTGGTAGAAAAAGCCATGTTTCAATTGGGCAAAATGTATCTTTGAAGGACCCCTGTTTAACAGCTGGACTTGTTGTGGTCTCCACGGCACGGCGTGAGCAGTAACTTTGATGGTCCGGCCAGGTCTTATACTGTCGGAGCAGCATCGTGCTACTCCATACCGTCGCCTAGTTTTGCCTTTAATAAACAGATGATACAACGAACCCCTGCAAGAAAAGGCTCTTTTATTTGAACCCCAGACGAAAAGTACCGTCCTTGCGACAGCAGGGGCTTTTGCAAGTACTTGAATTGATGAGCAGCCCCAGGTTTTGGAAGTGCCCCCCCCCCCCCCCTTCGTTCCAAATCTCTCCCGTCTCAGCGCTAGCCCAGGCCCATCCATTCCGTCAGCTTGCAAGCGACCTCTGAGCACCGAAATCCGGTCCCTTCGAAGCATGCAATGCTGGGCTGCCCTCAGATCCCGCGCTAAAAGTTTAACTTTTAGTGGGTTAAATGGAAACTACCACTAAACACTAAACACTAAAAGGCTAAGGAACCGGATGCCTGGGAGCCACCAAGAATAGTCACACCTCTGGCCTCACCTCTGGCCACCCCTCAGGCAAAGGGTGGAGGTCTGAAGGCAGAGGATGAGACCCACGCAATTCGTGGCTATGCCCTTCGCAGCACCCAAGTCGACAAGAGAGTCCTTCGCCAAGAAAAAAAAAGGAGATCAAACAAATCTAAGCCAAGCTGCTCTCGCGTATCTTGGATTGCCATGTTTCTCCACGGTTTGGGAGTGAAATCCAGAAAACCGCGTGGTAAAGAGTTCAGGGTCAGGGGAAAACCTCAGCAAGAATCCACGCGAAAAACAAGCGCTCCACTCAATTCCTGAGTGGATTTGGCCAGAAAAGTCTATGGTTGCTGCTTGCCACTCTCCTGCAGTTTGCTAGTTGTTCGGGTAGTCGAGGGCCTTGAGCTACCGAAAGAAGGGAGGGCTGGCAAAGTGCTGATTTCACCTGGGGAGCCCTCGCGGGGGGTGATCATGGTTGATCAATTGGCCCCAAATGACCGTAAGCGACTCTTCCCAACCCACTTCCTGAGATAATTGGACAAGAAAAACAAACGAACTGTTCATATGATACAAATGGGCGTTCCCAAGAAGGGCAAAGTCAAGGAACTCAGGAGTGCACCCACAACGGCGGCAAACTACCAGCCTTCCAACAGCCATGAGGTTTTGCAAGACTAAACAGAAAGACTAGCGTGACACAAAAGGCAACTCCTGTCCGTTTCCATAGATGGAAAGCAGACCCAACATAACCAACTCCGGCAGTTTTATCGAACTATCAAGCGAGTTTGAGTGACCCCTAGTAAGGAGGGATTAGGGCCAAATAGGGAGGGGAAATGAAGCCGGCCTCCAGGACAAAGGCGGGAAACGCCTGGGAGACACATCGCGACGTGTTCGGATCTGTATCCATTCGGATCCCGATGGCTTTTGAGCCGCAGGTGTGAGGAGGGATCTGGGTGCAAACGAAACAGGCCCCAGGATCCTTAGGGTTCAACATGGCTTTAGGGTTGACACGAAACAATGGGGATCCAGCCGCAACAAAGACAACCAAGAAGACTAACACTGGGAACCTTGACTTTAAACTCGTCAACTCTGGAAATGCGTGCATGTGCAACATTGGGTGCTCTACAAACGAACCACCCCCAATGATTTCTCTTTAGGACAGCCCATAGCGGAGGACACTTCCACAACGGCTCATCGCTTGGAGTTTGGGGGCCCAACTTACTGGTAAGCCATCGCCCATGTGAGGCTATGCCATGGAAACCAGCTACAGGATTTTCTACTCGCAACATTATAAGGAGTGCGTGTAGAATTGTCTGTACCACAGCGGGTTACGTGGAGTTTGGCTATATCTCCGCTGCACGTATGGGTTACTGTATGTCGTACGGAACCAGTGGGGGTGTGCACGCTGAGGATGGACAAACTCTGTTACGCACCAGTTTGCTTGTTGCTGATCCCAGCATTGATGAGGCTTCTTCCATCCCAAACTGGTGCAGGATATTGTCCATCCATAGTATAGGTTACACGGAACGGAGCCTGTATGTGTTGGGGGCACTGAAGTGTGACTTGTTGAACGGGGGCCCACCAAAAGATGAATCCAGCTTTTTTCCCGGCTTGTTCCTACGAAAAGCGACGCGCAAACACGTCTTTGGTCCTAAGCATTCCTCCTCTGGCCGGACCCTTAGCAACTTCCAACCTTTCTGGTGGGAGTTCTAAACGGGGAACAAAACATGACTATGCCTAGTAAAATGTGTTTTTCCCTGGCCCTGTGAAGCCACCAAACAAAAGGTAATTCCCCACAACAACCCAAGACAAGGGTATCCTGTTTGCTGCGCTTGTTCTACAATAAACCCATAGACCAATAAGAGCTCACATAAATCACTGGAGCCCACTTTTGGGCGAAAACGCGACTGGGACAGAGCGTGGCGAAGGACCTTCCTTGGATAGACACCCCAAATCTGCCCCAATCCCCAGCTTCTTCATGCCCTTTGGCTTAAACCCACCAAAAACGTGCTCAGATTCTGCTTCATAGCCAGCCACATATTTTTCCCTCCCACCAATTAACGTGGAACCTGACGTTCGGCGGCTCCTAATTTTGGAGTCAGGTTCGACATCCCAAACAAACGCGTTGTCATAGTTGCGCGGAAACCGCAGATTCCCTTGTCTCCGTGAAGCTTGGTCCAATCCTTTCGCTTTTGCGAGGACTTCTCCCTCGCCTCGCGCGAAAGCTTGCGCTGGCGGCTGGCGAAGCCATCGGCGCGCTGCTTCGAGCAGCAGGCGCCGGCCTTGGATTTTTCACCCGAAAGTTACGCTGGAAAGTTCCAGCCGTTCTTTTCAAACATTGTTCTTTTCAAAAACCAGCCATGTTCCCATGAGTTTCCGAGAAAGAAGGATCCCGGGAAAGAATGGGCCTAGACAAGTGAGCTGTCACCTTCAAAGGTGAAGAACAACAACCTCTCAATATAGGGGGGGTAGTACACAAAACGTACGACATTTCGCTCAAAATATCCAAGCTCCTCTAGTTGGTGTGTGGATTGGTAGGGGCAAGTAGCTAGAAAACCCTCTACATAAGCCAGTGGCTCCAAATCCGCAAAGCACCAATCCAAACCTGATCAAAAGCCGACATGAGTTGTTCAACAAATATGCCGTGGTGTTTCAATACTTGAGATAGTTCCGCTCTCGAACTCTTCAAATCAAGCATTGTAATGACATTATTAACACGATGCTGAACTTGTCGCGGAACGACTAACACAGTCTCTGATCGAAACTCAACATGACATATATAGTTCAAACTGATCCAAGTCGCAATGCTATACATTGTTGAACATAGAGTTAAGTTCAATTGTTCAGTCTCTTACACAGAATTCCTTGAAACTAGCTCCAACAATGGTTGACTAGTTACACGTTCAACGGTTTAACCAATTGGTAAAATGTCAACATCAACTTAGTTGATGACATGCATATCCTGTACATGTTGAGGGACACGACCCCCCTCACATTCGCTAGGGATTTCCTTTGCCCCTAATGATTTATGGAGAAAACAGGGCATATTTTGACAGGGCACCTCACATCAAAATGAGCTTGTCTGGAAATAGGAGCTCCCCACCAAACAAAAGAGTGCTGTCCTCGTATTCAAGCCACTCACCAAGGCACCCCAACAAAGAACCAAGGACATCAACCAAAGGTAGAAGGGTCTTGGTTGCGGCTGACCCCTCTGTTTCCAGACAGTTGTAGTCCAACGATCCAACCATATAGCAATAAAGGGGTGTCCTTGATTAAATGGAGAAGCCCCAATTATGTTCATAGTTTCCTCCTCATTCCCGAGATGTCCTCGAAACTCGCGAGAATCACACGGTTGTGTCTCCAATCGGGCGAAAGTGTCTCGGTTTTCAGCCAGCACAGCAAAGCTTCGCAAGTTTGACTCGGTCAAAATATCACCTCCCTTCAAAACTCTGTGAGAACCAACCTCCCACTTGAAGCCAAGCACACCCTTGAAACCAAACCCACCAACGAGCAATGTGACACCCGGCCGGCCGGGCCACCGAGTGCGGCCCCTTGCGGCAACGCGCAGCGGCCATGCGAGAGGCATTGAATCGATGCCAAGCGAATGCGGACCCCTTTCCTGGAAATCATTTTTGATGTGAAGCAACATCTCTGAGTAGGTGTGGCTACATGAGGCACGGCCGAAATTACTTAGCAAATACTAAACTTAGCAGAAGTAATTTTGACGGTCCTTCATGTCTCTGAGGTGTGGCTATTACCTGCAGTCTCCATGACCCTTTAAAAATTCGGTCACTACCCAAAATAAAGGGGCCATGGACCATAGTGGAAGCAATCACAAGGGCAAGGACGCATTTGCTAAGGATAATTTCGGTCCAACCAAACGGCAGCCAAGGAATGTCTGTGCCTCTCATGCCTACAGCACATCATTGCGAGCTCGTTTTATCCCCAGGTGAGCTCGCCATAAAATTGACTGGTGTTTCTCTCAAGGGGGCCATCCGGTGGGTTTCACCTTAGTGGAAAGCTTCGTCCGCATGGACCAATTAGTTTGTGGTATTTGGACTGAAATTCACCAAACAGGACTTGGGGAGCGCCGGAACAAGATTGGTATATGTCAAAACTAGGGAGCCAGTTTGGGCTTGCCTTGCGTAAAATAACTAGATCCTACGAGGGCTGCCAACAAATTGAGAGGAGATATGCAAGAGTTCGTTGGACCATGACTACCTTCGCTGTCGCCTACAACTCAATTGCTCACACGCTTTTGTCTCGATCGCCTCATGTCCGCCTCAACTTCCCTCTTGGTTGGGTTTGATGCCGTCCCATTTTCGAGTCTTCACTTTGGGTTTCACAGTGCGAGCTGCCTTCCAAGAGCTTGACACTGCAGCTGGGGTCAGGCAGAGATTGCAAATGAGTACCCCCTCAAGTCCCGGACGAATTTCCATTTGGGGATATGAACCCAATGGCAAGCTGGGCTGCCCAGAATCCACTATCAGCTCTCCCTACCTCAAACAAAGGCAAAGCTTGCAACCAAATGTCAGTGTCCAAACTCAGGGTCTGACCAATCCAGCACCCGGGTCCCAAGTTCTGCTTTTGGCATCGTACCAAGGTGAATTTGGATATGGGAACCAGCAGTTGCTGGGGGTGTTTGATGGTATCGTGTTCGCCCAGGAATGCTTCTCAACACTGCAACTTGCGCAAACAAAGAACAAACTCAAATCCTGTGCAGGTCCATGGACTAAAAAAACACCTGATGCTGACACATTCCCTGTACAACAATACAAATACCTGGAATGTGTTTGCAGTCGTGGCAGCCAACTTCCCAGGGACGGTCTTCGACATTGGGAAGTCACAACCCTACTAGGGTGTTTCGCCACAAGTAAGTCAAACAGTTGCTGGCAACCTGTGCCACAAACCTGTCCGTTTTCAGATCCCCTGCTAAAAGTGATTAACTTTAAGTGGGTTACATGGACACCGAACCACTCCACCCCAAAAAACCAAAAAGCTGGGGAACCGGATGGCTGGGAACCACCAAAATAAGACCCACTTGCAAGTTGTCCTAAGCAACTGACCAAGGCCTCACCCCTGCCCTGGAAAGAAACATCCTTTGGGGGGACTGCTTTTGAAGCCCTATGACCCTTAGAAAATGGTTGGTCATGAACCAACATAAAGAGGTCAAGGGTGGAGACTCCGGGAAGGGATTGATGTTCCAGTTTCTTATGCTCGCAAAGGCTGCCAACTGCCAGGCCTGCAGAAAGGAGCTATCTGTGGGCTCGGGTGTCCCCAAGAGGCCCTCCATTTCGTACCAGACGAGCGACAGTCAATATTTAGGCGTCAAAGCCTTTTTCCGGTTCCAGTGTTTGGAGCTTTGTCAACGGACAACAAGTCCAACGCTAAACCTAGGAGTGGATTAAGCCAAGCAATTTCTCGGTTTGTCATTCTACCCAAAGTGTAAAGATGCAAAGTGTTAAACCGAGTGATTGGCTGACGCTGCTTGATGCCAACAACACAGTCTGACTATCGCAGTAGAAAGAAGCAGGGCCTGCCTTGATTCAGCCACTGGTGGAAGAAGTGCATCCATGTCGCATGTAACAGGAGACGGGGTTGGCCGTTCTGCAAAATGCTCGGCACCGCTCACCCGCATCCTACACATTTAAGGGATGCCTTGTACACCAAAGTAGTCTTGAGAGCACAACCTGGATGTGAAAAGAGAGGGACACCAAACGGGAAAAGAGAACCCTCGCTGCTTGCCCTTCTGTGAAGTCGATTGTTTTCCCCTTTTTCCCCTACGCAAGAGACATTGCGAATTAGAACCTTGAATCACGAGCCAATTGCAGCATATGATATGACTGAGGTCCCAATTACCCAGGAACATCCAACCAGCATCTAGTTCTTAGTGAACTCGCTGTACTGGGATGCAAGATGGAACTCGCAAAGGGGGCTACCTCACAAAAAGGGTCTCCTCTATGAGGATGGCCGGGGGACAATGTGAAGCACGATGCGGAAATGGTTCACATAGCTACTGAGGTTCCGGAAAGCGTCAAGCAGGTAGCAAGCGTTCACGGTCGTCCCACGCGAATCTGGTCGCAATTCTTTTTCAGCGTGCCACGACTCTCTAGGAGCTGATATGAGCTCTGTTTCAAGAGCTAATGTAGTATGCACGCCTGGTAATTACCCCAATTCACGAAGCCGTGTTGTATCTGTTTCCCAACATGCCAGCTAGCCAAGACATATCTTTGAAGCCACTAGCGCATGACAACAGAACTCGATCACTGTTCACACACAGTCAAGATGCACTGCGCGTTTCCGTGTGGACAGGTCAGCTGGATTCATGTTACCAACATTTTGGCAATTACCCAGCAACCCCGGTGGACAAAGAATGGACACCTAGCTTACTGCGGAACCAAAAGGCGGAGTAAAAATGTGCTACAACAGCTGTGCTTCCTACAAGCGTCTTTGATATGCTGACCTGCCATCTAGATCAGGGGTTGCTATGCCTTCACGCTACCTGGGGCTCAGCGGCCGTACCTCGGACACCAACAATCACATCATGTTGATTCTACCAACTCTGGGCGTAAAATAGGTACTACGATGATACACGTTATTTGGTGCAACAATCGGAACCCGTTGGGTAGAAAAAGCTGAAGGGGTCTCCTGACATTTGAACAATGCCCGGTTCACCCAGAGTCTTGGGTAGCTTATTGTGTTTCCCAAGTCGTTAGGTCGAATTCATTCTTTCAAATGTCAATCTGGAATAACTTAACGAATGGCACGGCTGCGCCTCACTGCAAGTTGTGAAACCCCATCAATACAGGCAGGCGGCAACAACTTGAATACCCCCGACGTTCAGAGGTTGCATCCCCCATACTCTGGGGTGACGCAACGGACAGCAGCTTTTAAGTTGCATGCCAAAACGCAACTCCAAGGAGCAATCGAACCCAAGAGGCAGGGGGTTCAGTCCACTAAATATAGAGCGGGTCTGGGCGGTCATGACACCGGAAAACCTCCCAGACCCTTCTTGCAGGACTGGGGTCAGGAGCGTCCGTAACCCCAAGTCAAGCCGGAAACCTACAGCCAGGATAACAGGGTTGTAACTACGGGCATAGGGGGGGGGTGTCCTGGCTTGTCAAAACACAAACGTCCTTTTGGTATTCTTTGATTTGCATCAAACATCTGGTTGGATTGACGCAACCGCCCCGCCTTTTAGTTGATATAGTATAAACACATACAGTATATTCCCCCACTGAGAGGAACCTGCGAAATGGGTGACTTATCTTTGGGTTCCCTGAAGCCACAAATAGGGTACCCGAAAGACACACCCACACACACCACACACACAAAAAAAACACACATATGGGCATATATGAGTTGAGGTGAGCACCATTTGGAGCACATCAAAGATACATGGTTGGATTTATACAAGCTCTCTCTCATTGACCCCCTGGTGCCCGGGTATGAATCCCCTGGTTTGCTGGTTGATTGACCTCCAGGTTGGGAGGGGATCAGGTTTCCCCTCAAGGGGCTTGCAACATGGTTTGTCTTTTGCTGGTGGTACTCTTCGGTGTTTTGTGGGAAACAAAAGTGAAACCAAAGCCCGGTTTGAGGTCCCCCGCATTTTGAAACACCAAGGGCTTCTAAGCTGTTGGTTTTCTCAGCGGAAGCAAAAAGCAAGCCAACCATGTCCGCCATTTTAGGGAACCGCATTCTTGAGAAACACCCACTAGGTCCTCCAGTAGAGAGGTTGGAATAAGGGTACCCTTTTTTCTCCAGTCTATTTTAGTAGGGGAACCCCTGCCCAAAAAAAAAAGAAAGTAAAAGGGCACTACTGGATAAACCTAGTTGACGTCCCGGGAACATTACAAGGCCCGAAAAGGAAGCAGAAAATGCTGAGTGCCGGCACCATAGGCCCAGCTCCAGCCCAAATCTGCGAGGCCTGAGCGAACCGCCAGACATGGGGGTGGTTGTTCTCCTAAAATGGTTTGTTGCCCTTTGGGCTTCCCTTTTCATACCCAAAACGGGATCCGCTTTGAGAAGCTCCCAACTCAGCCTAGCTTTCCTAGGATCAACGGAAGTGACCTGAGTTTCTGGGGCCCCGCTGCGTTGGACTGATCCTTCAAAAAGCGACAGATCCTGCCGCTTGATGAAAGGCAAAATCAAAAATCCGAAACAGCAACAAGTCAATGTTGGACCCTCTTTAATGCTACCCCCCTCCCTGAACAATGGAACCCTATCATTAAAGGAGGTGTAGCATTAGCAAGGCAAGCTACATCTGCCCGAGGAACAAACAGCGGGACGTTGACTCGTGCGAGCGCAGGGGTTTCCCAAATAAGAAGTTGAAGCGTGCAGACAAAAATCAACAGATCTTGAGAATGCTTCAGCACTGGCCCCAGGATTCATGAGTCCAAACAAAGAACACCCCGTTTGCCGAGGTTGATTTTGAAGAGGCAAATCACGTCGACCGTCCGCTTTTGTGTGTTGTTTGTTTGTTAGGGATGATTATTAGTCCGAAGGTATCCACCATCAGCGGAACTGCGGGCTTTGCAGGGAAGGCCAACCCCAGGCTCTTCGTTGCTGAACAGCGCGGACGTCCTTTGATCGTTTGCTCCGAAATGTGTGTTAAGCATCGAAACATGTGTTCCTTCTAAGACCACTTGCCCTTTTTCCAGTTGTTGTTGTTGTTGTTGTTGTTGTTGTTGTTGTTGTTGTTGTTGTTGTTGTTGTTGTTGTTGTTGTTGTTGTTGTTGTTGTTGTTGTTGTTGTTGTTGTTGTTGTTGTTGTTGTTGTTGTTGTTGTTGTTGTTGTTGTTGTTGTTGTTGTTGTTGTTGTTGTTGTTGTTGTTGTTGTTGTTGTTGTTGTTGTTGTTGTTGTTGTTGTTGTTGTTGTTGTTGTTGTTGTTGTTGTTGTTGTTGTTGTTTGTTGTTGTTGTTGTTGTTGTTGTTGTTGTTGTTGTTGTTGTTGTTGTTGTTGTTGTTGTTGTTGTTGTTGTTGTTGTTGTTGTTGTTGTTGTTGTTGTTGTTGTTGTTGTTGTTGTTGTTGTTGTTGTTGTTGTTGTTGTTGTTGTTGTTGTTGTTGTTGTTGTTGTTGTTGTTGTTGTTGTTGTTGTTGTTGTTGTTGTTGTTGTTGTTGTTGTTGTTGTTGTTGTTGTTGTTGTTGTTGTTGTTGTTGTTGTTGTTGTTGTTGTTGTTGTTGTTGTTGTTGTTGTTGTTGTTGTTGTTGTTGTTGTTGTTGTTGTTGTTGTTGTTGTTGTTGTTGTTGTTGTTGTTGTTGTTGTTGTTGTTGTTGTTGTTGTTGTTGTTGTTGTTGTTGTTGTTGTTGTTGTTGTTGTTGTTGTTGTTGTTGTTGTTGTTGTTGTTGTTGCTGTTGTTGTTGTTGTTGTTGTTGTTGTTGTTGTTGTTGTTGTTGTTGTTGTTGTTGTTGTTGTTGTTGTTGTTGTTGTTGTTGTTGTTGTTGTTGTTGTTGTTGTTGTTGTTGTTGTTGTTGTTGTTGTTGTTGTTGTTGTTGTTGTTGTTGTTGTTGTTGTTGTTGTGTCGTGTTGTCGTTGTCGTTGTCGTTGTCGTTGTCGTTGTCGTTGTCGTTGTCGTTGTCGTTGTCGTTGTCGTTGTCGTTGTCGTTGTCGTTGTCGTTGTTGTTGTTGTTGTTGTTGTTGTTGTTGTTGTTGTTGTTGTTGTTGTTGTTGTTGTTGGTGTTGGTGTTGGTGTTGGTGTTGTTGGTGTTGGTGTTGTTGGTGTTGTTGTTGTTGGTGTTGTTGTTGGTGTTTCACCGAAAGAAACAACATTCAAACATGTACCCGCCCTTCGACGCAAAGCCCTGAGCTTGCAGCACTTTGGCGCATCCCACGTCGAGTGCCCGGACATCCTGAGAGCAGGCAAGGCCTGCTGCGATGGAATCTCCGTGTAGCTCCCCCTGTTGGATGGTCAAACAGGGCTGATCAATAAATGACTGTAGGTCAAAAATATGTACCCAAAATGAAAGCCTGGTAAGTGGAAACATGGACCAAAACCTGCGGTCCCCTGGTGGTTTAATTTTGACCCATACCCAAATGGCGATCAGCCTACTTGGATGTTTGGCCAGGTCAGTCAGTGCTCGGCCAGAGGGACTTGCAAGTTGGTTATAACCTAGGTCACTGAGAACTTGTTGACTTGGCCGAACACCCAAGCACTAGCAGCCCCCTAGATGGCTGGGGTTGTGATGCTTCTATTGTGAACCCTACGAATATTTACAAGGGTTTGCCAAGGGGTTCACTATGCTTGGTTGCTGTTGACCCTTTGCAAAAAGGTTTATTTGCTATTGCTTCATCCGAAAAGTTCAAGTCCAAAGATCCAACCAAATAGCCATAAAGTGGGGGTATTCTATCAGGCTGAGGGTTACTAATCGCCCAAACTCCCGGACCATCAAAGCTGGAAGGGAATCCCATTCCTGCCGGATGTAGGACCAGATCGAATAGGAGAAGGGTGCAACTCCCCTCAACTGAACATCCGCTGAAAGGGGGTCTATTCATCCGCCAAGGATTTGTATATATGCGTGGTGATTCCCATCAAGACTACAAAACCCTTAGCAGTTTCGGGGGAGATGGGTCACCAAAAAAATGCTTTCTTTCAACTGACAAGTGAGGCTTGGGTCGCAGATAGGAACATGACCCTCAGACGTGGAACAAAAACACACCACTGCCACACCTCCTGTATGCCCATCTGTTTTTTGCAAACCCTGAATGGTTGGGGCGCTTCCCTTCACACACATCATCATCATCATCATCATCATCATCACCACCACCACCACCACTACCACCACCATCATCATCATCATCATCATCATCATCATCATCATCATCATCATCATCATCATCATAGTTCCTCTTTACTCAGGGTAACATACCCCTGGACAAGAAAACCCAAACATAAACCCCTCTCCGGCTTCGGAAGAAATCCAGCCCCTTGTAACGTGCCCTTCGAGTCGTCATGGGGGGCGGAATCGAACAGCCCCACCCTGGCTTGCTTTTTTTTGCGTGACAGGCTCTCCCAAACACATAGTGAGCACACCCTGAAACCCTTTCTCAAAGGGAAGGTGCTCGTTTCCCAAAGGCCTGGGCACGTCCATGTCGTTTGGTGATCGGGTCATGTTTGTTTTTGGGAGCCCAAGAGTATGGCCTGCCCAAAAGTGACTAAAGTCTAGGAACTTGGGAAACGAGTGCAAGGGTCCATTTTTGGAAGGAAACTCGTACCTGACCTGCACAAGGCAAGGGGGGAAAGTACACTGTCAGTGGGGTAGGTCAATTCAAAAAGCCCTGCAAACCTCAAAAGGGTAAAAAATAAACATATGGCTGGAAACTGGCAAGACAAGCTTGATTCTGTTGGTTTCGGCTAAAGGATTCTGGCGCCCCAAAGTCCAGACGGGCTCACTTTCTGCCCGCTAGCGTGGCTCCACCTCCAGCCCCGTGGCCCCTCCTATTTCCCTCTATGTTCGGCCAAGTTGGCGGTCAGCTACCTGTACAAGCCACTGTCCAGAGGGTTGCCGAACTTACTAACTTGGCAACGAGCACTCAAGCATAGAAGCCGAAATCCGCTGGCTCCCTGAGTAGGTGACCCGCCGTGCAACGCACAGCGAACACTCAGGGCCCCTGACACGTGCACAAAGAACCAGGCCCCATGCTCCTGCGCCGGTTGGGTCGAACCTTGATTCCGAAACTACAACTTCCGGGGGATCAACTTTGTGGTTTCTATGTTTTCTCCGTGAGGGGGGAGGGACCTAGGTTACCAAGAACTTACTCTAAGACTTGGCGGAACACCGAAGTACTTTCAAGGCAAAACAAACCCTTTCCCCTATTCACAATAAACGCACACAATTGTTATAAGTGTTGCTTTTCCACAATACTTCTAGAATAGGCCAATTCTACACAAATACTAAACCGGCCGAGTGCTTGCCAAGTTCAACACCCGTTTTTTGGGTGGTACTTCAGGATGCAAGCTCCTACCAACCCCTAGTTTGAATTATGTGCTGACCAAAACCGAAGACAAAAACAAAGAGCTGTTGTCAAGTTCTAAGTTCCAACAAGTTTGACCCGTTTCAAGGGAAGAGTACATTCGCCGGGGAGCCCATCTGAGCCCAAAATTATCCCACGAATCAATATCGGTCCCCAGAGAATATGTTTAAGTATTAGCGAGGCGTATTTATGTTTATTTCCCTGAAACCTACACACACATATCATATCTATGTATGTATATGTATATATGGTATATACAGCTGTATATATGTACATGAATTTCAGCCCAATGGCTAGGGCTCCTTCCGTTCCGAGTACCTGGTCTAAAGACGGCGCAGTCCTCTGACCAGTGGACCTGCCAGCAGCCCGCAGTACCTCGAGCTTTGGCCAAAGGGCCACCCGGTCTTCAGCTTCCCCCGCTGCTTGGTTTGGAGCTGAATCGGTTTCTGGGCTGCCCTCAGATCCTCCGCTAAAAAATGAACTTTTAGTGGGTTAAATGGAACCTACCACTAAACACTACAAGGCTAAAAAGCTATGGAACCGGATGGCTGGGAGCCGTCAAGGTTTGGATTGAAACTGAAAAGGGGATTCATAAACCCACAACCCCCAACCCGCTACTATCCAAGGAGATCCAAACCACCCATCATGCTTGTAGGGAATGGGTGGAGGAGCGCCCAATGATGCCAAGAAGCCATTGTAGTCTACGTCCTCCCGACTCCAACATGGTCGAGGCCACCCCAAGTCACCTTCCCCAACCTGCCACATGATTTCTGCTGCGTCAAAGTTGCCCCGCATGTGGTAGCTGAAGTGGCTTTGGTAAGGAAAGCTCCTGGAAACGCTCAAACATGCTGGGCTCAAGAGAGGGAAGCAGATGACCGAGATCCGCTACCGTGTACTGCTGAAAACTGGAGCATGTAAGTTGGCAATGAAGCCACCCGGACTCTCTTCAACTTCATACCACCAGTCCTCCCCGTTTTCTATGGGCCTTGCTACCGACTCAGGAACAGGAAACAGTCTGCTTGAGGCCAGGCTGCTGCGCGCTTGCCGCTTGGCCTTCCTGCAGTCTTGGCTTTGGGCTTTTGCCATACTCCGCCTGGGCCAGTGTTTCCATCTCTTTAAGGCGTCCAGGTCATCTTGGAGCTCGTCATGGCTCGATTGCGCTATCGGATATATCTGCAATCGGAATTCGAGTCATGGCAGCGAAGCACGCAGACACATGCAAGCAATCTCCTCTCCTTTGAGCTGGAGAAAGGTGAAGCGCTGCTTGGGTTTGGCGCAACAGGACTACAAACAAGTGCAACGCGACGATTCCTGGGAAGCTCACTTTGGCCCAAAAAGTGATGTTTGAACACGGCAGAACCCGGACCTCTGACCCTCTCTGCCCCTCGGATGGCACGTGGCATATCCCACTGAGAGGACTCCGTCTCCTGGCACGGGATAGCCGCACACGTCAAGGTTCTAAGGTTCTGCAGGTGTAGATGGGTGTGACTTCTTTGAGGGGAATGCTGGCTTTTCTCCTGGTTTCCCTTCAAAACCGATCAAAAAGGGGTACCCTCAAAAACAGAAACATAGCTTGGGAGGCTTCAGGTGAGCGGGGCCCAGTCGAAGGCCGCAAATTGCAAGGCAAGGCTGCCCAAACAACTGAAGCGACATGGCTGCCAATGGGATCCTATTTTGGGGTAGGTGCACCACCCATTTTAGTCTATTTTAGTGGGGATTGGGATGTTCACTGGGGGTATGACCCACAGCCATGTCATTGCACACAGCAAGCTCAAAATATCTCAAAATTGAGTTGGCCAATCAACCCACAGCTTTGCCCTGCACAGCCGGCCGCCCTCCGGCCCCTGTCGCAACATGGCTGCGCCCCCGGCTGGAGACTCACCACTGACTCTGCCGATCACAACAAAGCTCCTGGTTGAAGAAGTAGTAAGTCTGGCTTGGCTCATCCCACATCGCCTGGCGAACGAAAATTGGACATACAAGAGCTTGCCTATTCTAAAAATAGCTCCCTTCCTGAGTGGATTGGCAACCAAGAGTCCAAACTGTTTGTGTATCACTCACCTGGTCTTCCACAAAAGCTTCAGGGTCAGCAACTTGGACAGTGAAATAAGGTCCTTCATGCAGAACAAGGACATCCGAAACCAAAACAAAATGGGTTTATCAATGAACATGGGAAAGGAATGCACATGAATCGACGCTTGGAAGATTGACACGCTTTGAGCAGACTCCTATCAATTCGTGTGGAGGGAATCTGAAAAAAAACATGGCAACAAGCAATCCATCCCCTGGTGGCTCGCAGGCATCCACACAGTGGGGTAACCTAGTGCAAAGGTTCAAACAAAAAGAAGGCTCCAATTTGGCTTCCCTTTGCACCCCGAATAACCCTCAAACATATGTTCAAGGGCCGATAGGCTTCCCATTAGCCGCAAGGACTCCAGCTCGGCCTTTGCCCAGCCCCGACGTGGGTCTCAGAACAACCAAACACTGTCCGATGTTGGTGACCCCTAAGAAGCTTCAAACCTAATTCATGAAATTGCAACATGAAGCTGCTGGTTGTTTGATCCGGATAAAGGACATGTTTCTGACAATTGGGGGCTCCAAGATCGACTCCCAATAAAAGAGGTTAGGCCTCGAGCCCTTGACGCATGTCCAAAAACAAATATTCCCCATAGGATCCACCACACCCTCCCGCGTAAGAGAGCAGTGCCCTGTACCAACCCCGCCCCCTCCACCTGTTTCCCCAAAACTAAGCGGGGATAGGATGTGCACACGTCTGGTGTCTCGCTTTTGAAGGTAACCTTGGTGGGGGTATCTTTGCAGGGAAGCCCCCGATTTGGAGGGCCAGCCAGGTTCGTTCATGGTTTATCATGGTTCTCTAAAGGGTCCAATAAAGCGGTTGCATTTTGAGGGGTCAAAATTGGCTTGGGACCTAGTGGTTTTCCTGGAAACCACTATTCGAAAGTAAATCAAGGTTGGGATCCGTTCCCGGCGCTCGGACTTTTCCACTTCGAAAAGGCCAGGTCCGGCGGTGAGAACGGTGCAGCGGGCTGTGCACTGCGGTGTGCGCGATTGATCCGGAGCATTCTTCGGCGCGCAGGGGGTAGCGTTGGAAGCCCAAGAAACAAAATCCCAAGAAACGCCATCCCAAGAACCAGGTACAGGACATCTTGGCCCACATCTGGAGTGCGCCAACAACTATAAGTTCAGTTTTCGTTCTTTATTTTTAGCCCACCCTGAAACATGAATTATTTTTCTGAGTCCCCAGGGAAAACTCGAAGGAAGTCAGCCAGCACCCCCTTTGTTTTGGTATGGCTAACTTCCAGCTGAAAATTTGCTGTAGCTGGCTTCCAGGAGTCAAAATCTTGCAAGCTTCGGACAACTTTACTTGCTTTCCCCCGAAGACTTGGATGGTGACCATTGGTCTCTGCAGAAATTATGGGACCTCCTCTGCAATTCCTCGGGTTTGCTACCAACATTGCCAGTTGGGTACAAATCCTTATTGGAGACAGGTTGGCGTCATGTACATGAGAGTTGTGTCCACTAGCCATGATGAAAAGTGTCCAAGCATTAAACATCATCGCCAAATGCCCCAACCGTTGTTTTTTCAGACAGACACAGCCGCCGGTACCAGGCAATTTGGTCAGACGACTTCCCTCCGATTGCCGAAGTGTCGACTTTCGCCGGAGCCGAGTGCTCCTCACTCGAACCTCGGAAAGCTGCGAGTCTATCCCAATAGAGCTTTCAGATGAAGCGTCGCCTTCGCTGCGGGCACTACTGTGACCCTCCATATCCATATCCATATCCATATCCATATCCATATCCCAGCCAGTGATTCCATTTACCTCCCGTAAAATCAATTGCCTCCCTACGCATCTCGCTGTCAACCCAAGGGGCTGTGGGAGGTGCAACTGCACCACCGGAGGCCCCCCCAAGGGGAGCTGGGGAACAGAAACCTCCACCCCACAAGCCTCAACCAAGGGCTAGCCGCTGGAAACAACTCTTTGACTTTGATAAATGGCCATGGGTCAAAAGCTCGTATCCCAATCCCCACTAAAATGGGTTCTAAAATGGGTGGTGCACCTACCCCAAAATGGGGTCCCATTGGTTTTGATTCCCACAACCAATTTGAAACAGAACCAAACTCACGGGCTCAGGACTAGCATTGAAAATCCAAAAGAAGCCCACGAACCCAGTTGGTTATGTGTCAAAAAGTCGAAGGATTTCTCTGGGCCCAAACGGGACGCCCTCAAAAAACAGACATGTCTTTCTGGGGTCTCCTCCAGGTCCATTTTCTGATGGACTGAACATGAAACAGAATCAGATGTGGCTCCTCCAGATTTGAGTTCTTAGAATAAGGGTACCCACTTTTTTCTGTAGTCCATTTTGGTAGGGGAACCGAATCCCCCAAAGGGAAACGGTTTAAACGGGCACCAATCGCTGGGGGACCAATCGGCACTGTACCTCACCGTACCCGTTCGAGGCCCCGACACTGGCAGCTCGGTGTTGGGGAAGGACTCGGATCGGAACGAGCTCCGAGAAAAAAAAAAAAAAAAAGCGGAGAGAACGACGAGAGGTCGTGGCAGTGGCGTTTGAGGGTACCTGGAGTCTCCTTCTGACCCTTTAAAAATGGGAATGAGTCATTACCCAAGATAAAAGGGGCCATGGACCCATTTTTATTTCGGGTCATGGAGACTCCAGGTACCCGTTTTTGGGGGGTTGTTGTTCCAAAGGGAAACCCAGAAGACACATCCGTGTGTCTTCCAAAATTGGTCACCCGCAGACTCGACTCAAGGGTTTGAGCAAGGTGGGTGTTCGTTACCCAGTTAGCAAGTTGTTAGTCGACCCAGGTGGCTACCTGAGAACACTGTTGCGGCTCTTCAGTTATGCAGGGATTTTGCATGGCTAGAAGCAACCAGGATTCACTTCTATACTGATGGAGCACGTGTTCTTGACCAAGGGGAGCCGTTTGCTTCATGGGGCATCGTTGTCATTGGTGAGTCAGCAAGTGGCCAGTTCAAGTTTGGCGGATATTTTGCAGGCTCAGTTCAAGGCGACGAGTTTTCAGGCTTTGCTTGGAATGCAAAGACATCATATGCCGCTGAAGTGCTTGCCATTGCCTATGCACTCAGCGCTGTGTTTCATGTGCCGAATGTACCCTGCATTATTCATTCTGATTGCTTGAGCGCAGGCCTTGTTACTGCGGGGGCTGTAGGAAGAACTCGCTCCCAGGTCAGAGATATTAACCTTGCCGTCAGAGCTTTGTGCCTTGCAGTTGCGGCGCAGCGAGACACTGATGTTGAAATTAGGCATATCAGAGGCCATTCCGGCCAACCATGGAATGAGCTTGCCGATGCAGCAGCAAAACGTGTTGTTTCCGGTGTGATTGGACATCAGCATGTCCCTTGGAACCGTGCGCCAGGAGAAGCCAGCTTTGTTCAGAGCACTGTGCAGCATGCTTGGCTCTTTAGAGTTACTGGTGACGGTGAATTCCCCGAGGTTGACAAAGATGTCTTTGTGCGTGGTGATTTCGTGCCTGCGCAGCATGTGCCCAGATTTTGGCAACATGAATCTCCTCGGCATGAATGGAGGCAGCTTCAGTGCGAGGCAACCTTTGGGACGTACAACGTGCTTACCCTTAAGCAACCCGGCAAAGTTCAGCTGCTTGAGGAGTTGTTCGATGCTGCCGGCCTTTGCGTTGTTGGATTGCAGGAGGCGCGCGCTGATGACAAAAAGCTGCAGGTAGCAAATTGCGCAGGTGCTTACATTCGAGTTTCCTCTGGAGCTGACAATGCCATTGGGGGTTGTGAGATTTGGCTGTCCACCCGGCATTCGCCTTTCCACAAGCAGGGGCAGCCCCTTTGTTGGGATGCAAGGTCCGTTGTTGAAGTTTATGCTTCCTCGCGCCTCCTTGCCATCACTGCTGTTGCTGGAGGGGTGCAGTTTGCCTTGATTTCAGGGCACTGTCCGAGTGTGTCTGACCATCCTGAAGAGGCTGCGCAGTGGTGGGCGCTTCTTGACGAAGTTTTCGGCAAATTGCCACAAGGAAGCTTGCCGATCCTTTTGCTTGATGCCAACGCAAGGTTTTCCGCGCAGGTCGCGCGTGTTGACACGGCAACGGCCTTGCCTGCCAACGCCAATGGCTTTGCATTGCAAGAGTTTGCAGGACGCCACAGGCTTGCAATTTCTGACTTTTGTGATGCAGATGGCGCTGAGCTTGTTACTTGGCACGGCAAACGGCAGGCCACCTCCTGTCTCGATTTCCTTCTAATTCCATGGTACCTTGCCCGGTCTGCCCTTGCTACTTGCACATTGCCGGAAATTGCCGACCATTTTCCTTTTAAGGATCATGTGCCTGTTGCTTGGACGATCAAGGGTACCGTCAGACGACCTGTTGTTAGGCTTCCTTCCCACAGCTGTCGGTTTGACGTGCGTAAGCTCTATACTCTTGAGGGCCAACAAGCCCTGGAACAGATCTGGCAGCACATTCCCCCTGTTGCCTGGGAAGTCAACGCCACAGAGCACGAAGACAGCATTTCAGAGTGTTTGCAGCTGCAGCTTTCGAAGGTTTTCCCTGTGCCTGCCAAACGGATTCGAAGGCCTTATTATCAAGAGGGCACTTGGGAGATCCTTTGCACGATGCGTGCTTGCAAACGCACGTTGCGGTCTGCTCGCAACTATGTTGCGCACGGAACTTGCAGCATTGTGTTTGGCGCCTGGAAGTCCATTGTCACAGGTGCTCAGGATCATCCACTGCCTGGCTGCTCGCTTGATGAGTGGAAGCGTGCGCAAAATGTGTTTGATGCGCAGTGTAGCCGCACATTAAAGCACGCAGCTAAGCAGTTTAAGTGTTCTGCCAGCAAAGACAAGGCTGCGTTTTGTCATAAGCAGCTTGCTTCGAGTTGGTCGTCTAAGGGTTCAGCTGGCCTGTACAAGCAACTTAGGCCATTGATTGGTACATCTAAGAAATGCGTGCAGCGGACTGCGCTCCCCTCGGCAACTCGCACCCAGAATGCTGACATTTCGTGCGTTGAAACGCGGCTTGTGTTGCAAGAGCATTTCGCAGATGCAGAGCACGGACAGCAGAAATCTCCCTTTGAGCACTTTCAGCATGCGCAGCTTGGGGAGCAAAGGTGCTTCGCAGACCGTTCTGCATTTGCCGTTCGTGTGAGTGATGTCCCAGCCTTGTCCGAAGTTGAGGAGGTCATCCGGCAATTGCCACGTTTCAAGGCTGCTGGTTTGTCTGGGGTGCCAGCTGATGCGTACATTGCTGCAGCGCCAGCTGCCGCTCGTGCCATTTACCCCTTGCTCCTCAAAGCTTTTGTGCGTGGCGATGAGCCTCTTGCATGGAAGGGCGGGCTCGTTGCCGCCTTTGCCAAGCCTGGCAAAAACCCTGCCATTCTCAAAAATTGGCGTGCCATTTTGCTCGAGGAAGCCGGTGGGAAAATTCTGCACAAACTCATTAGGCGCGTGCTTGAGCCGTATCTCATGCGTGTTGTGGGGCCCGTGCAGTGCGGAGGGGTTCCCGGCAGAGCCCTTGCTTTGCCTCGGCATCAGGTTCTGGCACATGCGCGTTGGGCCCGCAAGCAGAAGCTCTCCTCCTGCATCTTGTTTATTGACGGACGTGATGCTTTCTACCGGCTCATTCGGCAGGTCGTTTGCGGCCCTGGCTCGCCTTCCGAGCATGAGGCCACACGTCGGTTCATTGACAAGTTGCATCCCTCTGAAGCCGTTTGTGACACCATTGCCGATGTTGTCTTCCAAGGACACGTGTTGGCGCAGGCTGAGGTTCCTGAGCTTCTCCAGCATTGGTTAAACACCACCTTCCGTGGCACTTGGTTTACGACGATACCCGGAGCAGGGCAGATCGTCGCTACTGCCACAGGCAGTAAACCCGGGGACCCGTTAGCGGACCAAGTCTTTCAGTTTGCAGTCGCAGCCGTCACTGACTCCATCTGTCAGGACTTGCAGCGTGCAGGCATTAGCGAGTGTGTCCAGCTTGATGCCCAACAGTTGCAGCTCTTGCGGAGCATTGATGCTGCCTCTCCCGGGGTTGTACGCATGCCAATTGTTTCATGGGCTGATGACTTGGCACTTGCCTTCTCAGCGCCCAGCCCAGAAAAGCTTTGTCATGATCTTCAGGTTGCCACTCGCATTGTGCTTGAGAGGATGCGAGACATCGGCATTCCCTTAAATTTTGCACCTGATAAAACTGCCGCTGTTGTCTCCCTGCGAGGCCCGGGATCCCAGGAGGCAAAACGTAAAGTCTTGATCCAGGGCGAGTGCTTGCTGCCTGTGCCGCTTGCTGACGGCACCTGTGTGCAATTGCCTGTTGTCCGCAGATACAAGCACCTAGGAGTCTCTGTTGAGCACTCGCACAGCTTGCCTGCGGTTCTGCATGAGCGTGTTGCAGCCAGTGAGCCGACTTTCCGTGGCTTGCACAAGCACCTGCTGAGGAACCCTTTTGTGCCTGGCCATGAGAAATTGCAAGTGTTCAAGACTCTCGTGCTGACACGGCTTGCGTGCGGGAGTGAGCTGTGGCAGATTGCAGGTGAGAATGACCAAAAGGCAGTTGATTCTGTCTTCCTCAGGTTTTACCGCCGCCTGCTCCGACGGGTAACTGGCCATTGTGATAAGGAATTTGATGACACTCAGGTTTGCAACTTGCTCGGACTGATGCATCCCTCTGGCTATGTCACCCTTGCAAGGCTTCGACATTTTGCTTCAGTGTGTGCCACTGGCCCAGTTGAACTTTGGGCCTACCTTATTGCCGAAGGCGGTTGGCTTGACACTATAGCCGTTGATTTGCGTTGGTTGCTTGAATGGAAGCCCTTGCCTGGGCGCTTCCTTACTGATGATGGCAGTGTGTCGATTTCGCTCGGCTCATTGCATCCACACGCGCAGGGCAGTTTTCTTTCAAATGTTTCCTGAAATCAGCAAGTCGAGCCATCGACCGGTACTTGCATCGCGCGAGCGAAACCACAAGATGGAGGGTTGATTTTGACCGCCTTTGCTGTGAGGTTGGATGCCATGTGCTGCCGGTGCGCCCACTGCGGCTGCAGGCTTCTGCGGCTGAATGGGATTGCCCCCAGTGTGGTTGCGCTTTTGCCAGCAAAGCCGCTCTCAACACACACCGGTATCGCTCGCACGGACGGCGTTCAGCAGTCCTTAGCCTTTGCCGCGGTACTGTTTGCCTTGCGTGCCAGAAGGAGTACCATGACCTGGACCACCCAAATCGGCAGAAGTTTCTGCCTTTTTGGAAAAAGGCGCCTTTTTGCTGTTGGCGGCGTTTTTAGTTTCCCTGGCAGCGTTTTTTTCAAAATCAAGTTCTGCGCAAAACAGGCAGCAGGAAATCGGCGGAATTCGGCGGGAAATCGGCGGAATTCGGCGGGAAATCGGCGGAATTTCGCGGAAGCAGGTTTCAGCATGTCGGAGTGTTTATTGCGTTTCGGCGTTTTTTCTTGCGGGCGGCGTTTTTTGGGCTTTTCGGCGGAAATTTCTGCCGCCGGGGCCTTTCGGCAGAAAGTTCTGCCGCCGGAGGGTCCAGGGATGTGTACCGACTGCGCAAGCACCTTGAATACTCGGATAGATGTGCTACAAAACTCATTGAGTCTGATATTTGCTTCGACGAGCTGCCGCTTGACAAAGTTGATTTCAAGGTCAGGGCATTCAAGCCTGTTGTCCAGCTTGCTGGCCCCAAACCGTTCTGGGCCTGGCTCAGCCCTGAGAAAAACGAGGTTGGTGCCGACTTTGCAGTTGAGCAGTTTCAATGCGATGAAGGTGAGTTTGAATGCGCTTTGCTTGATGCATGGACTAGGGCTTGTAAGGCGGGCAGCTCACTTGGCTTGCGTGTTGGTGCTTTGCGCCGAGTTGTGCAGCGGTTTGCAGCCAGTTTTGCAGACATTGCTGCAACATTTTCGCAAATCACTGCAGGGCTGGCTGAGGAGCTTGCAAGTGAGCCTGCTGACGGATTCGTGTTTGCATTGCATGTTTTGCCTTGGACTCTGCGCGAGCACTGGCCTGACCATGTCACTGTTCACAATCAGCATGCCCATTTCTTCATTGACCAGCTTGTTGAAGGAGAGCGGTTGGTTGTTGATTACTGTGGCTTTCAACATGCTGTCAACAGCAGTGGACTTGCCTATGGCTCCCTCATTATCAACTTGTTTGCTGGCCATCGGCAAGATGGTGATGTGCAGTGTTGGGTCGAAAGGTTTGCCTCTGCTGCTGAGGTTGCACTCACGGTTGTTAGCCTTGATGTCGCAATTCATGAGGAGTTTGGCAACATCAATCGGTCTGAGATTGCGCGCCTGCTCCAGCACCTTATTGTCACGCAGCAACTACTCGCTTGGTTGGCTAGGCCGCCGCGCGAGACCTGGTCAATCGACCGTGAAGGTGCGGTTGTCGGCCGCAGGGCCCCGCGCATTTTGCGCGATGCCGGCGATTTGTGGGGGCGACCTTGTATTTCAGCAGCAGAACACAGGCAAGTTCTACTTGGCAATCAGTTGCTACAGCAGTCCTTACTTCTCTTTCCGCTGTCAGTGCGCTACAGAGTTGGCGGTTTGCTTGAGCATCCCTCTTTCCCGAGCTGGTCGGATAACGCTGCCAATGCTGCCAGCATATGGCGCCTTGCTGAGGTCAGGCGGCTCACGCGGATACCCGGTATTTGTGCGATTGATGTGCAGCAGCATCCAACAACTCTGCTTCACACCGGCCTGCCGTGGTTGCCCAAGCTGCTTTCCTCTTGGAAGATGCCAATTTCGCAGAGAGCTACCTTGTGCAAAAGTCACAGTTTTTGTGACGGCGCTTGGGCCAGCAGTCACCCTGAGAGACTCTGTTGTGTTTTTGCGGCCTCGCTTGTGCTACGCTGCGTTACCAAGGCGCAGGTTGGCCAGCAGGTTGTTTTGTCTCCCGAGGCGCTGCAGCTAGTTGAAGCTTTGCAGCAGTGCTGGGATCCCTATGGGGGCTTTGGAGCCGGCCCACGGCGCGATTGCGCCGGTTGAGGAGGCTTCTCCCCATGCTGAATTTAACTGTGCAGGCGCGTTTTGACAGACTCAAAGCCACGCAAAGGTCAAAAAAGGCCAGGTGGCTACCACTTGCTAGGTGCTTGCCCGGACATCCCAGTACAGTCAATATGATAAATATACCAGCATATTTTGTTTTTGAATTGAGGGCACTTAAGGCAGTGTCGGTGGCCTAAGTGCCCCTTTGATTCGATTGCGAAGTGCCCTTTTTGGCTTGATAGGGGTTGGGATTCTGTTGAAATCGAAGAGCTACCCGTGTCGAAGTGTGACAGCTGCCACATTTGATTGGGGGCGACCCGAAAAGCCCGAACATGGCGTTTTGAGTGTCAAAGCGTGTCATTTGAGTGTCATTGAGAGTGCGAATCGAGGCCACTTACCCCTTGAAAACGTCACTTACGCTAGTGTCGGTCCCCCCTGCGTGAGTGTCATTCCCGTGTCGCTGCGCCTCGATTTGCCCAGCGTCGGTCCCGCCCCCGTGTGAGTGTCATTCGCATTAACGTGTCGCTGCGGCTCGATTTGCCCGGACTGAGGAGGGATCTGCCAGGGAGGGCAACTCTGAGGGTCTAAGTGCCCTTGAAATGGCTTAAGTGACCTCTTTGATTTAGGACTAAGTGCCCTTATTTTCAAAATGGATCATAGCACCCAAAAAATGAATCGAGGGCACTGAAAAGAAGATGGTAATACGTATATTAGTTGTGTTCCGAACTGATGAGTGCACCAATTGTCACCCCCGTTTACTATAAGGTCTATCGCTGGTGGAGCATTTAGGATCATGAAGGGTCATGAACTTCTAATCACTTCCTTTGCAATGGCTCCGAATCAGCATTGGAACTATGGGCGCAAGTCATTGTTCAAGGATTCGGGGGAAGTCAACCCCGATTCACTCGGATGGCCCTACTAAACCCCAGGGATCGATCCGCTGTGCGGGGGAGCCGAAGGGCCGTGACAGGTGACAATTGGTCCTGAAAAGGGAACGGGGCTCTACCCTCGTGATTGTTTTCCGGCTCAGAGCAACGCAGCAACCTTGTTGTTTCCCTCCAAAGGCAACAAGACCTGGTTGCCATTGGGAGTCTTCCTGTGGGAAGCGCGGGCAACCCTGCCCGACGAAACAGCAGCGGCCGCGCATCTGTGCTTCCTGAGTGCCGCACATCCAGAATGGCGGACTTGGACAAGGGATCCCCCAACGCCACCTCGTCGATGGGGATGCGCTTGTACCCGCGGAAACCGTACCTCAGTTCCGGATGTCGCAAAACCGAGTCGAGGAGTCGACCCCCTTGCTGGTTTCCTGGACAAATCAAAGGGGCCAGCTGGAAGTCCCCGATTTTTCGGACAGGGCATACATAAAAACTGGCATGCTGACGAAGCTTCATCTGCCTGGACTTTGCGTGTGGCTGGGAATAAGATCGATCTCACTCTCCCGCGCTTCTCATGGAAACGAAGACCTTTGGTAGATCTACCCCCAGAAACGGGAATGCTCCCGCTCCAGCGACCCGAACGGCCCTGGGTCCCATGGCCTCCGAGTCCCATTTGAACCCAAAGGCAATCGAATGCCCCAAAAGCATCATGAATGGTAATGGAACAATTATCATGGTCAATAGTTTTACGAATTCCCATTTACTATCAAAGCTTTAGAATCTATCAAGGCCAAATCATGATAGTTTACTCCAATGCCCAAAACTCCTTTCCAAGCATTTAGGCCCTTGTATGCTGGTTGCCAATATGCTCTTACATTCCGGGGTTGGAATTCAAACGTGTCGTGTAAAAATTGGATTGGACCCCAAACCAACCTAACCAAGACTATCATCCCAAGGCAACGCTCGATGAGGAACGTTCAACTTTCCTACCCCCGATTTTTCCCCTGCAGTGGTGCGTAGACTTTCTGCAAGTCAAACCTTGAGTGGGATACACAATAAGAACTCCCCCTCGCAAAAAAAGAAATAAAGAAAGAAACGAACAGGTCAACAAGGCTAAGGCGAAGGGCCAATGGCCTCGGCCACAAAACAAATTCCCCCCTCAGGTTCCGGTCCTAACTTTTTGGGACAACTGAAAGGGACAGCAAATCAACCGCAGGTCCCAATTTGGGTGTGTCTTTTGTTTAGGGTGAATATAACAGTTTCGGTTTGCTTGAAAAAAACAAACAATTCTGTGGAGTCCATGAACCAGACCTCCAGTGGGGGTAGAAGAGGCCATCTGTTTGTTGGTGGTTGGTTTGCAAGGAAACCCTCTTCCAAGAAGGAAAGGCAAGCCACCACTGGGGGGCCTATTCCTCCTTAAACATCCCGCCAAGAGGAACCTCACTTAAATCGGACCACATGGTGATGCCTGCCCTACAGGTCATGATCCCTCCATACCCCTCCAATGCACAACCCAATGGAGAACCCCAACACTCAGCCCTGAACAACGACTTCTTTCCAGGCTCGGCAAAAAGTCAAATCGGACCCAAAACGAGAATCTTGAAGAAAGAGACCTTTATCCACGGGTGTTGACTTGAGTTTTCCTGCTGACTTTTTGTGCGAGTTCCCGAACTTTGCCCAAAGGCCTCCCCCCCTCCCGCCCCCACCAGCAAAAAACTTGCTGGTCTTCCGCATCTGACATGGGTGTGGGTCAAAACCAATGGTTCCTTTTTGGGGTAGGTGCACCACCCATTTTAGTCCATTTTCGTGGGGATTGGGATGTTCACTCGGGGTATGGGATTTTGACCCATGGCCATATCCGGTGTGACTTCCTCAAGGAGGGCCATCACAGACAAGGAGCCTCCGCCTCGTCCCCATCTCCCCGAACCAAAAAACCTCCGGGACTTGACGACGACTCCATCCGATTCCCGGCCTCTCGATGAGCGGAGTGTTGCGAATGCGCTCCAAGTCGTTGGGGCCCTTGCCTGCAATTCGACCCCGGCCATCGATCCGAGGCCAGGCGGCCAGCCGGCAGCCATCGCTTTTTTGTTCCTCACATGGCTGTGCTTGTCAAAATGGGCGAACCCCAAAATGGGTGCCCTGGCAAGTGGAAACATGGACCAAAACCTGCGGTCCCCTGGTGGTTTAATTTTGACCCATATACCCACATCCAACCAGACCCTGGCAAATGCAACGTGATTTACAGGGCTACTTGCAACTCACTTCCGATCGAGTGGATTGGCCAAACAAGGCCAAACCTTGTGTTTACCACTAAAATGGTCTTCCCAGAAAGTTTAAAGTCCAGAAGCGCAAGGAGTGAGGCAATGTTTGGAGCATGCACCGAACTCAGAACGTGGTAAGCCTCGTTTCTACCCCGCGAGCCATAGTAAGTCCCCTTGCAGGGAGGATAGCCATGGTTACTCACCATCAAACTCGTTTCAGCCGCAGGCTTTTCGAGCCGACACTTGGTCGCCGGATTTCTCCAAATCCAAAGCAGTGGTTGGGGGGGTGCGGGTTCTTGCCGGTTGATGTTCAAGGAAAGCACACACAGCAAAACAAATAGCGCCCAACAGCTCCTCAGGAACCTTGCCCCAGGGCCGGTCTAAGCCTAGGATTCGCTAAGACCTCATAGAATCATAGCTGTTGCCAGTTCATTCGAGGGAGAACAAACAAAGAAACAAAGAAACAACAAAACAAACAAACAAACAAACACATACCAAGCAAGCAAAGCAAGCAATGCAAGGAAAATCAGCAAAGCCAGCAAGCCAGCCAGCCAGTAAGCCAGCCAGCAAGCAAGCAACACGCAAACACAATGAACTAATCAGAACCAAACTTGGTCTAAGAAAGCGGCCTCCTCAAAATGTTCGCGAATGCCCAAGCCTGTACGCACCAAGACAAAGAATCGAGCTGGCTT